CTCTACCCCCTAACCCTAACCCCAACAGTATTGTGTCCATCGGGTGGGGCTACCAAACCACATCTTACCCCTGATTTGCACTTGCGTTTTCAATTTTCCAACGTCCGACAGTGACTCCTCGAAACTCACCCTGCACACTATTACACTACTTTTTCCTCATCCTCATTCTCAGCAGTTGCGCGCGGTTGTTTAGTTCAAAAAAAAAGATTTCCTCCTGTTTTTCAGCACCACGATGAAGTAGTGGCCTACCCAAGCCTCCTGACCCTGCCCATTGGAAAGTTCGCCAACCGCGTCATCCGTGGTGTCATGCAGGCTGATCGGCTCTTGGACTGCTCGTCGGCCCTCCCAACCTATCTGCATCCTGACCCCTCCCAGGCCTTGATGGATTCCTCCCATAACTCCGACTCCTCGATCCCAAATGAGGCCGCTGATAGTCCTTCCGCTCTGACAAACAACAGTCCTCTTCCTTCTTCCTTCTCCTTCTCCCCCTCCAACTACCTCATCCTTCCAATCACTACCTACAACCGCTTTGCCACCTCCAAACGTATGCTCCTGGACGGTTTTCATACTCCGCCTCCACACCGTTTGGGTCTGGAGCCGGTTACGTCCAACTTTCACAAGCCCGCTCCCGATTTACCTACTGCCCCAGCTGCCACCGTCTCCTGGTCTCAGTGGGTGGGCTTCCATACACCCGTTCTTTCAAAGCCTCCCCCTGCCCCAGCATCATCATCATCGTCATCATCTCTCGCGAACCTTGACTGCACTCAGGCGAGCGACGAGAACTGCAATCCCGATGTGCGCGTGTGCTTTGTTCGTAGACAGTCGGAGGACTGCGGCATCGCTATTAGTCCGGCTCTCCGGAAAAACATGTTTGGACGTAAGTTTTGCTGCGTTCATAATGCGAAGTCAATCATCGAGAAGTGTTTCGCCGACAAAGACTCATTGGCTCATTGGTCCTCATCAGGCAGTGATGCCGTTATACTTCACGATTTTTTATTGCTATTCGTGAACCCACCGCTTACGTGGGCTATAGGGCTTCAGCGTCAAGGTAGAAATGAAATCGTCCGTGGTCCGTTATGTAATCGGGAAAGATCGGTGCACACAGTCCTCCACGTGGCGAAGTCAATTGTGCCTTCTGTCTGACAGGCACTTGGCGCAGTCTATAATTTTAACAGTCAAAACAACTTTTAAAACAGAGCAGGAAAATTTCGGGAATACACACAGTTATAAAACGTCTTCCGTCAGACAGAGGCGAATCACCAACTTCCCCACCAGTTTGCGGCGGATGCTTTATTTCTAGTATTCTGTCTGCTTTATTAAGGGTCTAATTGTTGAAATTACAGACTATCAGGTGTCCGAGGTCTTAATTATACAGTGCCCATCTTCTGTGTAGAAGAGGTCTGCCCTGAAATTCCAGTGCTAATGATGCCCAGGCTAAAAATAGGCTCGACTTACGAGTTAGGAAGGAGGGGCACACCGATCATCTCTCACAGTTGGCAAACATGGCTGCGACAGCGAATGTCTTTTTTGTCTATACGCGTTCTCTATTTCGCATAATTTGCTTACTAAAAAAAGTTCGAATTAGTTACTCTACCCAGCCGCTTCTGCTTCGAAAAACCTGCTCTTACCTTCCTCCCACCGTCAGTTTGTCCACCTCAGTTCGTAAAACGACAGTCTTATTCCATCTGTAACAGTCTGTCGCATGTCACCTGTGATACAGTTAAAACAGCGCAGGCTAAAAGACTGGAACTTTGCGTTTTTTGACTAAAACCATCCACGCTGACGGGCCGGTTGCCGGCGGGCGACGGACGTCTAGGGTCTTGGCTCTGTCGCAGAAAGACCGATGGCAGGGACGGGATTCCTTTGAGTGTCTGGCACAAAACCCACCGATCACCAGTATAATATTGCCATCCACGTTCTCCAAACTTTAATATATATGCGTGGCAGTATACCACAAGCGTGTGACACGTCCCGGATTTTCGTCACAGCTCCCACCTCATTTGGTAGCAGATAACGTCTTCTTCAAGTTCTAAGCTTGAGGAAAGGGTATTTATCGACTTGTAAAAAGTCGCTAATAGTGGGACTTTAAGACCGTGAAATATCTATTCACGAAGCATCATTTATCTATTTATTACTGCTGCTTCTAAAGCATACAACATAGTCCGCATGCATTGCAAATTTTAACGATCTCGATATAATTTCTCTATAATGGTATATACAAATATATGATCTTCATTACACGGAAAATATACGGCTTGGAATTCGGAAACCTAGAATGCATTTGCAATGGGAGGTCGGGATCGACATTATTCGGGGATTGGAGAAGTTTTACGAGACCGGAATGTGCCCTTTCTATAGGAATAAAATTCAAAAAAGACATTATTTGCTATTAAACGAGTACAAGAAAAATTATTTTTATGCATGTTCTCTATAGAATATAGTTGAATTGATAAGGATGTCGAAAAATCAGGGAGAAAGATTCATAATATCTAGTTAGTCAGTTTTTACGGTGTAGTTTTTCCAGGCGCTCAAAAAGAAGCTCATTCGAAAATCGGCGTTCTGGCACGACCGATTCGCACCAGGCCTATTGTCAGCTGTCTTAGGATCAGGCCGTTGGCAGCAGCAGCAGCAGCAGCAGCAGCAGCAGCAGCAGCAGCAGCAGCAGCAGCAGCAGCAGCAGCAGCAGCAGCAGCAGCAGCAGCAGCAGCAGCAGCAGCAGCAGCAGCAGCAGCAGCAGCAGCAGCAGCAGCAGCAGCAGCAGCAGCAGCAGCAGCACTGATCCGACTTCTGTTCGTTCAATTTCGCTAGCACAGATTTTATCTGACAATAAATTTCCTCTAAGTGGGTGTCCGTAAAAGCACAGAGAAATCTCTCAAAGACAGAAGGAGGACTTTGCACATAATTTCCGGACTGAAGTACTGTAGCAATACTAGTAAGCTATGAAGAATCATCATTTATACTGGACAGGGGGAATACAAAAGCAAAGCGTAAGTTCCCTGTGAAGATAACCCAGTGAAGATGAACGGTACAAACGAGGATCTGGAAAAGCCTCTAAAGGCACGGGTGGTAACAAAGATCGACCGGCAAAAGGTTACACCTCGAGTTTAACCGTCGTAAGGTTCTCTGATCAACCGAAGTTTCACAATCCAGGAATGCCACTGTGGCCTATTGTCTCTCCGAGAGAAGCCCCGGCGCTGGACTTGGTCAGGGCGTTACTTCAACGCCCAGAGCTTCTAAGCCAAGGTTCTGAAACATCTGTCCTCGGTTCTTACAAATAACCGTAGGGCCTCCAACTTACAAGTGACGAGGGGATAGCGTCTCTCGACGTGACGTCACTTTTCCCCTCGATCCTCCGCTATATGGCGGTTGCGACAATAAAAGAAGAGAGGGCGAGGTATCTACTACACAAGTTGGAATGAGAGTCCGAAACTTTGGACCGATAATTTCTTGTTCCAGCGATCGCATCTTCTTCTGAGTTGCCATTATCGCAATCCAACTCGCACGCAAGTCACTACGGCTCCCATCAGGACAGACGGACTATCGAAGTGGTGGTGCTAATGTGGAGTGCGATTGTGATTCTGATGACGAAGATGGTGATGTCGGCATCAAAGACGTGGAAGAAGGTCGTTCCCTATGCCCATGCCAGACCCTGCTAAGGTCGATTTCAGCTCGGAACGCATCGTCCATGACTGTGTCCGTTTTCATGTGTCACAAGGAATTCTTAAATTTCAAATTTTCTTCTCGAAGGCACGACACTGCGAGGGAAGTCCCGAAGAAACAGTAGTCGAGGATTGTAATCAGCCCGTATAGAGACTTGGGAAAAGTTTAATGACAGATCTTCTAGCATTCTAACCGCACATACTTATGTCGCAAATATTGCCTTGGAAATTTGGAGGGCAGCGATTTTCAATGCAAATCGCCACCCTTGTACGAGCTTCCACGACAAGACCCAGACTGATTGGAAGGTGTGTACTCATGGTTTCTACAAATGCTTGCTGTAGATACAAGCTCCCGAAAAACCCATTTCTGTCTTGACGACGGAGTCGCTGTCCAGATTGCTTCTAGTGGTCCCGAGCATACCCCAACTGGTGTATACCAAAGTAGGCGACTAAACTTCGACCGAACTGTGCAATGTGGATCTTTTAAAGGCTTCGGCCACTTTTTTTTTCGATGACACTGTGTGTCTTCACAAGTTGGTACACAACACCATTTTCTTTGTTGAAAACGTCATAGTAAGGTGGTCGTGGTGACGCAATCAATGGCGCCTTGGACAGATCGCCGTGCTGTCCCACTCCCCACTGCGCACTGTTTATGTGAACTCTTTATCGCTCACTTTCTAACGCGATAACCTCCCCCTCACACCTCCCGTGTTTCATTTCGTCCGACGTCACAGCGTTGGTAGAAACTCGAGGACGCACGAGTACAGCCCAATATTTCCGAAGAACCTCTTCTCTTTTAACCGTCTCGATTGCCTGTTAACTTCACTACAGGAGGAGCAGAAAACTTGTGCGGTTAAAAGACGCTTGCTACGAGAGGAAATGCCAACCACAGAATTCGCAACAGTCAAGACGAAATGATATTACTGTACACGTGGACGGTTTGTCTTGTAATCCAAGCAGAACCACCGGTCAAGGCGAAGGAAATATTAATTAATTCATGCTGTTGGGAGCGTGGCTACTCTAATCAGATGTGAGGTGCTCGATCGTCTGCAGTCCGATCTCGTGTCCCACAGTCAAGCTTTTCTGACCACGAGCAATCTTTTTCTCGCAGTTTACGTCTTTAAGAAATATTATAGCCGATGCAACACATAAATTTGAAACACCTAGAGCCCAGCCTTCGGGTACATTTTAAAAACAGTTCACTTGAGGACCCAACTTTCAGTTTCTATGAGGGTGAGAACTTGATGCGGGTTTCCTCGTGAACCAGTGCTGTTCTACAGTCACGCTTCGTCACTCCTACCTTTTTCCACACTTTCAGCCGCTCGGATCCGAAGAACGCGGATGAAGGGTACTGACAGGTTGGTGATGAAACTGAAGCAACTAATTCAGGGCGATCCGTCTACTGACGAAAAGGCGACCAGTTCGAATGACTCCAATGACGAGCAGCGCACTGGTGAAACAGCAGCCTGGGTTGCCGATGTCGGTGAGGGTGCTGCTCGTCCGAGGTACAAGTACTTCTGGTCCAGGGACTTCCGGAGTGACCCCAACCTATTTCTCCTCGGCAAGCGTCTGGAGGAAGCTGACATCCGTCCGGACGAGGGTACCAACGCCTCCAGCGTAACCAACGGCAGTACTGATGAGGACGACCAGCGCACTGTGAATACTGAACGTTGGCACCGACCAATACGTTCCTGCCTGCCGCCTCAACGCCTTGAAGTCGTTGATCGAGATCTCGAGAAGGCGCTACAGCGGGTAAGTTCTCGATGGCTGTGCATGTGTGGGCATTTGTAAAGCAGCCTTTCAGGCGATAACTGATACTACGCCGAGATGAATTAAAGTGTATTCTACTGAGGAGTGCACTGATGTGCCCTGAGGATGGATTGCCCAGTGTCGCTCTCACTCCTCCACTCTCTTCCCAATTGGGAATGGACTTGAACGCAGTGACTGAGAAAGCTAAACATGCCATGTGCGCGTGCCACACACAACACGATTATCTCTACGTGTAACAGGCCAAGGCCAGGGAGGTCTCAGCTCTCACGTGGGCGAGACTGCCGCGAAAGCCACGTTGAGAATTTTGGTGATTTTCCGTATACGCCTAGCGCGCTGCAGTCCATGACGCCCTCGCGTATGTGCGAGAAATCGCAGCATCAGCCTTTCGACAGTCACAAAAAGCCAGAAACCCACCTTCAGCCCCACTTTAGTAACGCCACAACCACTCTCTTTCTCAGTCCACAGAACTCCACCCAGTTAAAGCTCCGGTCCATTTAAAGTCTTAACGTGGGCCAGAAGCAGACGGTGACAGGCTGTAAATTAAACTGCCTGCGCTCCACTCCTGTACCTGTCCACACCGGTAGCGATGGTTTCCTGCCTGACAACGACGGTAGCATCCTTAAAGGCGGTAAGAGGCGCCAGAGGTTGTTCTTGGTGTCCGATTCGGAGGTGGACGCTGTTGCTAACTACTAGGACGACGCATCAAAAGGTCCTGGCAACGAACTATTTTGAAAACTGGGCAAGTGTTTCTCAACAGACAAGTGCCATGAACGAAGACAGTGAAGCCTAAAATGGTCATTTACGTCGCATTTGCTGTGGTGATCTTTAGCCTGTTATATCCACTACTACAGGCATGCGATTTGAACCCTGGTTCACCCCTTCTTCCGTACTGAGCCACTTCGTAGTCGTGCCCGCCAGCCTTGCGTCGTAGCTTTTGCCATTGCTTCCAACAAAGCTGTCAAATCACGGTTAGCCGCCTGTAATTGTTTATCTATTAGTTGCCTGCAAGTCTACCTCAGAGTGAAGTAGACTGAACACTCAGCACGAGTCCATGCGCGCTGGTTCATACTGCCGGCCTAGTCTTCACCGACAAATCGTTGTTCACTGTCGGCATAAACGTTAACTCAACATTAACTAGAACAGCATCTGCGCAGTCGTTACCACTGCGGTCACAACTGCTAAGAAGTAGCATATTTATGGTAGGGGGAGGGGTGAGCTTGGAGGAAGTAGGAGGAATAAGATCCGGACAGCGACAACCCCCATCCCATCCCCTCCCTTCGTACTATTTGTCTGTCTGAACGGCGTTCTGTTAAGCTAGAAGTCGGAAAAAAGTAGTCTTTGGCCTAAGTAACACCGAAAGTCGGCCCTTTTGTTTATACCATAACCCATATTCTTGAAGTGGATGCTGGACACTCAGCCACGCAGGATGTATTGACTCGTTATTCCAGCTTAGCTTGTGCAAAATCGGGTCGTTAGACATACTAACGTGTACATCCATGCGAATCCAACCTAGGAAAGACTAACTGAGCGTTAAAGTATAGTAATAATACTAGACATTTAGGTCGGCCGTTGACTGATCGTTAGCAGTCCCGTGGTGGCGATTTAGAGTGGACTGTTTCAGTATTATCCCTAGTCACCACGTGAACTGTCTTAGGAGGTCTCCAAGACGTTCCGAAGACACGATAAACTGCTTTAACAAAGAGCACAGAAATCCTTGAGGAGGCGGCAAAAACACCAACGCTGCTAACGCTTAACCCCCTCCCTCCCATGTGTCCTCACCGCCAATGCACTTTCGGGAGTCACATGGGCTTGTTAAACTGCGCACATTCGCACCCGCCGGATTACTGTCACCACCAACGTCACCGGCGCCACGTTGAAGCGCATGGCACCCACCCTCACAACAAATGTACCTCGCCGACGCGTTTGTCGCCCTGGTTGGACACCCTGTCCGCTTGCACAGAGCCAACTCTACCCGTCACTATTCCTAGCCACCACTTCAATTGCCTCGTCGCCTATCATAACGCTACGCCTTGACCTGTATCTTCTAGTCGCCCCAGATAACCATTGTGCATTCCCTGTTCCAGCCAGCCCCTCTACCTCACCCAGGTGTCAATTGGAAGGGAGAGGGAACACGCGACTGTTAGGGGAGGAGGTTTCTCTATGATAGTGTTCTTGCAATGTTATAGAAGTTCGACCTGCTGAGGAAAGACAGGATGGGACGAGGATACAGACAACCCCCTCGTCTCCTAATGAGTTTGAGGAGCATAGGACTCTTTTAAGTAGAAATATGACAAGCGGCCTTCCAGAAGTCACGGTCTTAATTCAATAGTCCTTTTGACCTTACAGATCCGGTGGTGATCTTACCGGAGGGAGTTACCCTGAGATGTCGGTTAAATAGGGTGGAAGTGGGAAGTTTTATCTTTCGAAAGAATTCAGAGGAAGAAGACGAGGTCTTGACCGCTGAGAAACAACAGTCCGACCGTCTTTACCGAATATGTCCTCTTGTGCACCACAGCAGGGCTGACACAGGGATAGTGACTGGGGCATGAGTAAATTGATAGCGATGGTGGACTTGCGCAACATCTACCGCACTCTCTTTTCCTCCCCACCTTGATCCGGTGTCAAGACAGGGTCAAAAAGACCGGAGACGAGATCGAACGCAGTGGGTGGCAAAGCTAAATAGGTCGGCTGCGCGTGTTACACACGCCTAGTCCGCTCATGATGGATTAGATTTTCACGCAAAACAAGAGAGAGCGGCTCGGCGGATCACAACAGAGTGGAAGTGCCATAAAGGCCGGATTAAGAATGAACCACTATAGCCGGACTCACCGTCCTCAAGGCAGGACCTAGTTATCCCGTCGGTTGACAGCGACGGCTTTTAACGCCTTAGATTGTTTATAATGACGGATGCGCGCTGAATACCGTGGTGACGGAATTCCCTAGGTCGACCTCTCTCTCTCTCTCTCTCTCTCTCTCTCTCTCTCTCTCTCTCTCTCTCTTTCTCTATCATGCACCAGTGCACCGTCCAGGCCGGTCAGTCATCTGACGCAAGTGCCTGACAAACTTAGGGAGACGATTGCACGCGTCGCACACGACCTGCCCGTTGTAAATGACGAAGTCAAGGAGATTTCTCTGTCTGATTACAATAAGAAATGCCTAATTTCGTTCTTTTAACCACGGGATTTTACCTTCGCCTGTTCTACGAAGATTATAACTGAGAATTAAGGACATTTTTCGGACGTTTTCGAGTTACATAAGCACTCATCTTCCGACAGCGAGAAAACCATCAAATTCCCTGTCTCTTTTTATTGAGTTCTGTAGAAAAGCCGCAGCCCTGTGTCATTTGCAGGTGGCTCCGTGACGTCTGTGGGATGTGCTTAAGGCTTATTCAAAGTAGAATTTTAATTCCGGAACTACTGAGTTTTATCTGCTTTTACCTCCCCCCCCCTCATAAAACTTAAACTGCCCTTCTTACATCCCCTTGCGTTTCCAGTTAAAATCTTGACTCCTTCAGGGTGTTGTGCTTAGCTATTGTAATTGTGTTTTCCATTACTGTTATACAACAATAATATATAAATATATAATAGTGAGTTGGAACGCATACGACGGCAGGTTACTGGCTGAAGTACCAGATGAGTATTGATTTTGTAGAACGTTTGAAATTTTAATTGTTTTCTGCACATTTACTCTAGTCTGACGACGACACGGGGAACCGACGTCGAAAATTTACTCAATAAAATTTTATCTCTTTCCCAAAGAACATATTTGATTTCAAATATATAGTAGTAAATATGCAATGAGATGTCCTAGAAGATGAGTGCTTTTATACACACCTCATTCTTCATGTACCTTTACGGAAACGATTCCTTATGTGGATAGAACGGAGACCCCAGATACACTCGGATAAATCGCGCCCGTCTCTCTTCCTCTAAAGCTTGCTATAGATCTCTTTGACAAGGATTTTTACTCAATCTCTATTTATAGGCTACATTAATAAAAGACTAATTTTTAGGTCTTTGGAACTCATAAACTTGTGGTCAAACCTTCTACATAATTCATTTTCAGAGTTTGGCCGATGGACGCCGCACTGCAGTTCTAGCCGTGTCTCAGCAAGCGGATGAACTTCCGAGAGCCAACAGGCGTCCCACAAAACAAGTTCATCGCAACGCGGTGCGAGTAGGGCGTAATTCACGGGCCGAAAACAAACCAAAACCCGAGGAACTGCAATGTCACAACCACTCGCCTTCGTCTACTGATACTGTTGGGACGGCAATGGCAAGTTTTATTTTTAGATTACAAGTTACTTACAAAACAAAGTAGACATTGTGACAGGACGTAAATGTTTCGCGTCATCGGTTTTTTGAACGAACTTGTTTAACACTCAAAAAAACAATTTCAACTCTCAGGCCACGGACTGCAACGTTTCTGGGAAAGAGCAAGAAGGTCGGACCACCCCGCCTACTTTGACAAGCCTGTATCCAAGCGCTGGGACGCTCAAGTTGGCAGAGGCTTCGGAAAAAGTCGAAAACTCGACGTCGGCTCCACCCCCTTCTCCAGCCATCCTTCAACAGACTAACCAACGTCGACGCAAAGCTTTCCGGTTCGCCATTATGAAGCGTCATCGAAACCGTAAGACGACGCCACCTCCGCCACTTCTTTCTCCCAATACTCCACCTCGGGACGGCGCCCAGGCAGAAACCCCTTTTCCCGAAGGTACGTAACTTCCTCTGTTACTTGACTCATGCCTTTAGTACAACAGGGACTTTTTCGTGCGTTTAAGTGTTTTTTTAGCTTTAAAATGTAAATGTATGCTCTGGGCTTTCCTCTCGCTATGGTACTGTTGATGCGACCGAACCTTGTCGATAGCCTCTATGAGGCGTGGTTGGAACCTCGTTTTGCTTTGACTTGGCTGCCATTATGAGGCCTCAGTTTGCCTAGCTATAAGGCCAAATAATAATTTTTGGCCAGTTGCACTACAGTCAGTGACCGATCTCATGAAAAGTTAAACGAAATGCGGGAATTATTTTTTGGTTAGGAAGGATTATTTAAGTGGGACTGTAAGATTGATTATCTTACGACGTTACCATGTGATATCTCAGACACATAAGGGTGTTGTCAGTTGAATGCACTTTTTTCGGTCACATGCAAAAATCGCACTCAGTAAAAATGGCTGTTTAAGTAGTATCCATTTTCTCTATTGACTTTCGATGCCCCTGTAAATTCAAATGTATTTTATACAAAACCTCCACAAAAATATTCTTTCTTGTAGCCATTTAGTAGAAAATCATGTCTTCTTAAAATTTTAAACTTAAAGAAATGTTGTCTTTTGATTTTAAAGTGTTTTTCAATTTCCGAATAATTTTTAACTTGATCTGCTGTTACGCTTTCGTTTGGTGTTTCCAGCCTTCAAGCTGTAAACCTTCCGTGTAAGGAAAAGCATAAATTCCTTTATGCCATTAGGAAGATGCCATATGGGGTTCATAAAATGTTACAACGGGTGTGGACCGTGTTGTAGACTTAGTGATGGGCATTATTTAGCGGTCGGACGCGACGCTATTCGAGTGATCGATGCGCGATCTTAAAAAATCTCACGACTATAAACTTTTTTAAAACCAACAGACACCCTTTCTTCGAGTAGAAAATTTGGGGAAGACGTGATTTGCTACAGAATGGGCACAATAAAGGATATTTTTGTGCATGTTTTCTGCAAAATATTTTTATAATTCATAAGGAAACCGACAATTAGTGGGGATAATGCATGCTACTAAGTAGACCTTTTATCGAGTGCGTCCTTTACAGGTGGCCGAAAAGAAGTGCATTCAAAAGCCAACATCCTGCTGTGTCTGAAATATCGTGGGATTATGCTGCACGATGATTAGTTTTACAACCCCGTTTAAGTAATCCTTCCCAATGGAGAACGCATTGCAGAATATCAGTTAATGAAATCGATCACTGACTGTGTATCTTGAGACCCCAGTTTACCACGTCGCGTGTAATGCATGATAAAATTGTGCTATAAACGTACCATTGCGGTAATTTTAGTAGCATAGATATTGTAGTAAAGCAGATAAATCTCACTTGTCCCCATTAGGACACTTTGGACAACACTTCGCTGGCCACACTTCCGACATTATTCATACCTTAGGAACTACTGTTTTCATTTTTTTTCTATCTACAAGGTAGCCAGAGCTGTGCTTTCGTTCAGTCGGTTGACTATTCTGTTATCTAAAAGCCAAGGAGGGCAGTTCAGACAACCGCTTTCGAAATCCTCATGACCCATGGGCAGCTATGTAGAGTGGTAGAAAGCCAGAGCTTTTGAGACACGATTTCCAACCCCTATCCCATGAGAAGACAGACATTACCCCATTGAATAGGACTGTCTGCGCTCTTAGACGACCGCCGAATTCTACGAGGTTCCATCGTTTTTAAAGGGAAAAGGAGCCAAGATAGCCTGCGCAGTCTACGGGGTTGAATGTCGCATATAAAGTAGCAATCAGCACTCCACCAGTGAATTGCAATTCGGTTTGGTACAGACGGTCTGCAGATGTAAAAAAATATGAACATATCAAAAATCACCCCGAACTGTACAAATGTAAAACAATCCTTGCAGCACGTCCGCTCAGTCTATCTTTCAGAGTAGAGACCACTTGTTTTTATCAAGAGGACTTTCCTTCCATGAGATTTATGTAATGCTTTTGATCCTGACGGAATTCGCCGAGTTTCAGGGTCTCAGTGAATACTTACGGTCTTCAGTGTTCAAAATAGGCGGGCCATGAAAAGAGGCTTTGTTCAATGCGTTTATCCAGACATCTGGTTTTCTAAAATTAACCTGCCTGTTTACATCCTGCATCATCTGCTTTATGTGGAGAAAAAAGTGAATTTTCAAGTGCAGCAATTCCGTCCAGCAAAAACCCCAAGTTTAGAATGTTCGCCTCTCATAGAAAAATACGAGCGGATGTACCAACTTAGTCTAGGGCAGTTATTAGCATAGAAACTGCCCGAATACAAGGTAACGCATATCCCGCCTCAAATTCGCAGGCATTTTAACCGACAAAATCGTATATAAACATATTCTGTATGCCAAATGGAGATTTTCTCAAAAGGGTTGAAAAATGTCTAAATTTCGCAACATTTTAGACGCCTAAAATATATCTTCTTAATTTCTGTCATCCTGTTTCATGAGAAAGGTTACCTACTGCATGCTTGTACACCTCGATTTTACAGTTTGGCCAAAATATGGTGAAAAACACTCTTTGCTTGGCAATTGCCGGTCCACAGTTTTCTGTAAAAAAAAAACGTTCTCCCTTCACCATGGCCAGAATACAAATGAGTCGATGACGAGAGAGTAAGTTGGTTTCAGTAGAGCTGCATAACAGTTATGGGGGCAGTTAGAGGTTCACTTTCTTTACACGTATGACTCCCTGCCAGAAACGGTAGTATGGAACGTAGATATACTGATGTATGGCAAGAGATGTGCCGGAAGCCACGACGTATGGGGTGGAAAGACTTCTCGGCAGTGCTTGTGATGGGTGGGTGCCGCAGAGGACTTGATAGTGAATTGAGGCGAGTGTTAGAATTCCAGGTGTCTGTGTGTGTAAGGAAGAACAAGATTGATCGAGCACCGGAATAATTTGTTTATTTGTCTGAACTTTCGAAGTCAAGCCGGAGTCCATTATCAGAGATAAAAACGGCAACAGGACAGGCGATAGTTAAGGGGGGTCTTTTTTCCAATAAACGATCGATGACGCAGGCATGGGGAGGCGCCTGCGCACAGCCCTGCATACCGGCGCCAAATAGATACATCGATTGACTGAATTCTCATCCGGCACGCAGACTTCAATCAATTCTCCAGTTGCTTCATTTCCGGCTTGGACGATTATCTTGGTGGCTGCGAGGTCCAGCTCGTCATCCCTTTCAAAGGCGTGGGTGATGGCCACTTGCAATAATTTGTCACGCCGTCGCGGCGCCAGCTTACGCTCGTGTACGCGCGGTCTGGGCATGCGTTCAGTTGACTCGCGTAGTTACCCAATCTCCGGTTTAGTGACAGAATCGGTCCTACAAAAGTTGGCAAAGACTGCCTTCACCCAACGGGAGCCGGTGTTCTGGCACCCTTAGGTGGACGACTTGTTTCTTATCGTCAGAAAAAGCGTGCTGCAGAATTTCCACAAACTGTTCACGACGAATAAACAAATTGTTCCAGTACTCGACTAGTCTTGTCCTTCCTTACTCACACTTGTCAGTGATGTTGATTACGGTAAGGAAGACTTGCCGGGAATCGACCGCACTCACCCTCCCCAATTCCATCGTGGTGGAATGACAAAACAGGGTTACAACGGCTGCGAACGCTTTGGGCGCTCTGGTTGGCCTAACAATAAGCTCCTGCCTAGGCTTGCCACGACACGGCTAATTCCTCTCTACTGACCGAACCAGACTATCTAGAATAACCTCACCCAACGGAAGCGCACTCTAATTCTGTCTGACAGTTTTTGGCCCTGGAATTACACTGCCGTTCTACCGTTTTACTCTTAAATTCTTGTAAATTCGACTAACACGCCTAAATCCAACTGCCCCAACATCACAGACTGTGCAGCGATGTCGTCACCTCAGCGATCTTCAGGCATCCCAAAGTTGACCCTGACAAAGTGCGAAAATGGCCAGTTCAGTGTAGTGCCGAGTGCACGTGACGAACCAGACGATGCGCGGCAAGGCGAAACTTCCTCTGAAGTAGTGCTGACAGCGACTACGACCCCGACGAAGATACATTCCGCATCTCCACCACCACCGCCACCGCCATCGCCGCCTCCACCACCGTCATCGTCACCACAGCCACCGCCACCACCCCCATCTGCATCCTCGTTGCCACCGCCTAGTCCTCCAGTCCCCTCTCCGGCTGCCCAGGATAACTGGAAAGTCAGCACAAGTCCTGCTGAAACCTCGCTCGGGAAGGACAAAGTCAATTTTATCGCTGGTACAGCCACTGCCGAACGAGGACCCCTGGCCTTGAATTGCTTCTCAGGGTAGGTCATGACATATAGTAGGCGCTGAATTTGATTAAACAGGCGGAAGTTCGTGAAAAATACCTAATAACTGAAACCTCCAACAGTTTACTGATCAAAACACCCAAGTAAAAAGTGAGAGATCCGAGTAGAAGAAAGAGGTATTGAAAGTAATAGTAAGTGGCAGCAGTCCAGACTTTCTATTGCGATTCTGGCATTCAGGTTAGAAGAAGGGCAGTGGACGCCAGTTGACATGTTCCAGTGTTTTTAATCAGTTTGCCCCAGGATTTTCAATGCCCTCTTGTGTAACCGTTGTCCCTGAAACATCTCCCCACCGAAATACCAATGGAAGTGTGCTCTCTTTTTTTCTCAGAATGGGACCCACTTCTCCAGACATTCGAACAGTCCACAAGGAAGTACTACCAGACATGAAGGTTCAAGCCGATATTCCCGCGATGGTCAGCTGTCCCAGTTCCTACCCTCTCCTAAACGACTCTCGCATCAGCCTGCCGAACGACAAAATGACCCTCAGCACCGCAGTGCTCCAAGGCGTAAGTGTATGCGGGTCTGGCGATCAGCTCTGTTTCTTCTTCCCGCGCTGAAGACTCCGGGGGCCATGTCCACTGCTGCCAGTATCACTAGTTTAAATCACAGACAAGTGGTTTCATCATCTTTGCAAGCCGCAGGAGACAAGACAGTACAAGTGACCCCGTTATGCGGCTCATATCACTTGCTCTGCCACCTCTCGCGCACAAACTTTCTTTATCAAATTAGGTTGTTAATAGAAAGCATAGCAGAGGCGAACAGGCTAGTTCCAGAAAGCAGTTCAGAAGAAGAAGAAGATGCAATCACTGGAACAAGAAGTTTATTGGCCTGACGTTTCGGATTCTCACTGTAGCCCATCATCAGAGACGGTTGCAATGGAGGCACACAGACTGCAGTATTTACAGTACGTAGCTGCCATGGGGCCACATGCGTACTATAATTAACAGCCCTCGTGATCACCGCTGGGGTTCGTAATTAAGGCGATAATGGCTCGTCAGTCCGCGTCCGAGTCGTTAATTGCCGCAATTTCATCATCCGTGTTGGATGTTGACTCGGAAATTTGGCCCTCTGTCACCAGGGTAGTTGAGCGCCCGTGCTCTCCCCACGCGACTGATTCCCCTGCTCAGGGAATGTCTCAGCACCGACTATGGTAGTAGGAGGTCATTGCGCTTGTTGGTGGATTGCCGGTTCGAGTGAGAATCTGAAACGTCAGGCCAATAAACTTCTTGTTCCAATGTTAAAAGTGGCTGATGATGAGATGGGACGCGGGGGCTGACAAAACCAAATAACCAATCTACACGTACAGCACACACGACCCGATTCGGCTCGCACATCATGCTGGCAGTTGGGGGAGTGAGTCAGGGCGACGGGCGACTGATTGGGATGCAGCGGCCAATCTGGTATAAATCTTCGTCCAAGAGTGTTGGATTTTTCCAAATAACCAAACCTGGCTTCACAAACAAGTTCGGCGGCGTTGGAAAAATACACCAACTACTCTCACCTGCTTGTTGCACCGGTGGGGATCGAACTTTATAGGGGAAAATCCATGCCAGGGGGGGTGCAGACAGAGCGTGCAATTCGATAGGCAACACACCTACAAAGACAGGGCTGACTGGAGTCGCTGTCTCTAGCATGTTTGCCATCGTTAATAAACCCTGCCGTAACTACATGAGATTTGGGCCCAGGTTTACTTGGTCATTTAGCCAGGCACTCTAACAGTTGGTTCACAGGCTAATACTCCAGCGACGGTCCCAAAAGTACAATACCTATACAGTTCCTGCACATGAGTTGCCGCTCCCTGTCCGTCCTCTTCCTTGGGAGACTTGAACCAGTTGGCAGTTGAATAGCAGGCCAGTCGTGTGACCGTCCAGTCTATATCGGCCGTCCCGCAAAGCGAATTTTGATGTTCCCGATTGCAGATTATGGAGCTTGAGTCAGTAGTTCACTTGTAGAGCACTTGGCTAGATGACCAACGATCAAATGGTTCTGGTTCAAGGTCCAGGTCCTCCCGGCCATTTCGTTTCAGTATGAAATTAATTGGTACGGGAATTAATCTACAAGTGATCATTCCAATCGCCTGAACTTTTCTCCGTCGCTGTGCGACCAGTCAAGGAAATTTACGTGCTATATAGACTAGGTATCCAACGAAAGGGAGTTGATGTGCGAAGTTGTCGAGGCCAGGCCTACTGCAGTTTAATGGAATCTTGTATAATTTCGAAGATGTGGAAAAGTAAAGACACGTTTCCAGTGCTCCACTAGTGCGTCTAACGCTACCGGCCCTAGTCCGGAGCTTGTCTTTTCGGACACCTGTTGTGACTCTTTGCTCACTCCTCCCACGGCCGTAAGTGCTTCCCAACGCTCCAGTAGGATAATCTCACCTCTTAAGCATATATATTCGTTAGAATAATCCCTTTCTCACGGAATACTGAGTAGTTGCATTCTTACCATCTTGCAGAATTCCACAGCACAAGTTCGGCTGGATTCGAAAATGCCGTTTGATGCCGAGTCACCTGCCCTGTTAGATGCCACGTCCACTTCCCTCCAGTCACGTGATTTCAACTTCCGGTGGCACGGTTAGTCTGCTATTTGAAATAACCATGCATACTCTATACTTGAGCAGATAAAAGACTGAATTCTACAACTGGCATATCTTTACTCGCCCTCCCTTCCAACTTATTTCTTCTCAGATGTCGACGACCGTCTGGCGCCAACACCGCACACAATGTGGACCCGGAGAATGGATCCTCTACCCGCACCAGACTGCACGGTGTATCCCACTCTGCCGCCAGCACCGACAACACAACCCATTCAACTGCAACCCCACCTGAGTCATCAGGTTTCCACTTCCTTGACACCCCAGCTGAACGCTGTCCAACTCCCGCCCTGCCAACAACCACCTAATTTTCCACAGACAGCTCTCCCCCCTCAATTTCCGGCTTCCCAGCCGCCAATAACAACACAGTTTCTAACATCGGCCTCCACTCCCCAACCTCATACCGAAAATGGGCTTGCGAGCCTGCCCATGTGCAATAACGCTGTTGACGGTTTCCTCAACATACCCTTTTCCTCACCCAGTATGACTGCAGCCGCCGCCGCCGCAGCCGCCCTTGCCGCTCATTTTGGGCCGTCAGCAAACGTGCCTATGCCTTCACTGGCATTACCGTTGGACCTCTATTCATCACCTCAGATGCAGTTTATGCACTTTCTGCCATCACAAACCGGTGTTGTCCCCTTCCATCAGATGTCTCCGGCTACGCTCAATCTCCAGATGCTAACCCCACCCAATCCTATTACCGCCGCCGCTGCCACCACCACTACCACAACCAGCGCCCAACCCCTGACACTGCATCCCCCCGCTCCCACACCCACCTCCAGTTCTATCTTTGCGTTTGTCCCTCCTCTCCCCGAAGTCAATGCTGATGTGGCCGCAGCTGCTGCAGCCGCGAATGTGGCGGCCAATGGCTTCTTCTTCTTTCCCCCGAAGCCGCCCGTTCCGACCCCGTTCCAAATGGCGGGCCTCTTTGGCACTCCTGCTCCGCCAATGTGCGGCGACATGGCTTCCTCGGTGACGGCTCTGCATCACATGCAGGACCAGCTAGCTTGGATCGGCAACAACGTCAAGGTCACTACCAGCAACAACAGCGCGAACGCCCTGCTTTAGGTGATGTCTACGCCAACTCAAGATCCGATTGCTCAGAGGGACTTTGATAACCGCTTGGCGCCTGCTTCCCACACATCCTGCCACGTGTAGACTGTACTATATTCCAAATACTGACGTACCAGCCAAACTGTTTCCCTTTATTGTACCCATCCCGCCACCACTTCTTTCCTTCACAAACATGACCCCTTCCCTCCGTCTCTCCCCCTTCCTCCCCCTCCCCCATGATGAATCTTCGTGAGCGTACCTATTTGCCAAGACACGCACACGGTAAATATGCCCCACCTCATTCCCTGTACCAGGGTACTTCTCTTTTTTTAAACAAAAATATCTTTCACTTCCACACAGCTATTTCTACCATCGGGCTCCTGACGGTGTTTTGGCCGCACCTGGAAGTGTTATTGCCGCGCAATTGTCAGTTGTTGTAACACCAGACCGTGTATCGTCACTACGAAAAGTGGTGCTCACTGAAGTGTATCCTCTTCCGTGCTCGTAACGCCAGCTTAAACGAATCACCACTCTTTAGATTGCAAAGCTATCAACCCAGTGTCGTCAGTGCACATGGTCGAAGGCGTAGTCCGCAGTGGTAAAGCATCTTGTGACTTCAAGTACCAACTGTCATCTGGCCGTTCAAATCTATAGAAGCCATTGATTTGGCGGTAACGAATACAAGAGCAGAATTCCGATTCATTAAGATCAACTGCATGAAGTCAGCTGGGGGGTAAAAGCACCCTCTCCAAATATCTACAGTTTCCACGCACCCACTTGTCTGTGGCCGGGAGTAAAAAACAGCGGGTGTGTCGACATGGGAGTTAAACAGGCCTGTTGTTGATAGTGGACGTATAACCGACCAGCTAGTGCTCAGATTTTCGTACAAAACTCTTCACATACACCATGACCTGTTCGTTGTCTCCCGCTGAAGTTCAAAATTGTCATCATCTCCACACATTGGGCCACAGTGACTTGGAGAAGGCCAGAGCCCTCATACAGGTGGATGCCAGCTACTAAAGTACTCGCAAATGCTTGTGATATACGTGAATAGGGCTTATAATAGTGGAGTCCTCCACAGGAAAGGCAGTTCATCGTGATACATTCCAAGCTGTAAGGAGGATGAAGACAACTCTTCAGGCAGAATTGTACTGTCCCTAAAGTGGGCCACGCGGTACATGCGCTGGCCCAACACGGGGACTAGATCAGGGTCTAGCAGACGTTATTGGTGATGCACCTCCATAATAAATGGCAACGTTGGGGGATGTGGTTGCATGTCAAGGTGCGGGCCCACGCCGCGCCAGTTGGGGTTCGAAGCGCCGTCTTCTTTCTTGTTGTGTAAAGTCCTGGTTAGCGCACGTTGTAGACCAGGGGTGTGGTGGTATGTCCAGGTGAGGCTTTTCACCGTTCCAGCCACCCCTGTCCTCCCTCTGGCCTCCGGTCTGTCCTGCCACGGGACGAGGAGGGGGTAGGATGCGGTAGGTGCTGCGCAAGTCCACTATCACTATAAACTAGTTCGTGCGCAAGCCACTGTCCCCGCTCCCACTGTGCCGGCAACGGCGGTCGAACTGTCGGTGTTATTTCGGCTGATTCACGCGGCGCATTCTGTTTTCAGCTGGGAATTGGCCAATCAGAGCTGTCTTATGCCCCGGCCGACATAAACGGGATCTTAGCTGAACTGGACACATACGGATAAGCAGTACGTTATTACAGACAAAGACGAGGGAGACTGGAATGCCCATTTATGGTTTATTAGCCGTCGGCAGCCAGCCAGCCATACGGTAATAACATACTGCCAATATCTTGCGCCGCTGTGTGGCTGCTGGTTGGGGTCGAGAGAGAGTCCGTAAGGCACAACGGAACGAGTGAGTATCGCAAGAACGATCGGTGAGCGCCCCCTACCATTACATAAGAATAATTCGTCCCGTTGGAACTTTAATGCAGCAAAGGGTGAATACGTGTAAGTTATCTATCTAAAGCTATAGAGATCAACCGTTAATGCATGTTGGAATAAATACCGACAAAGGAAAGGGAGACTGGGTTGGCCATTCCCGACTTATTAACCGTCGTCAGCCAGACTGCGGAACGTGGGATTCGAAACCAGAATGCTTGGTCATTGAGAGTTTTAAGTTTAACGCCCTAACATCGAGCCACAGACACGTTACCTTGTCGATTCTGATCGAGAAAATTAAGTATCATGGTAATGGTTCAGTGGCAATGCGTTGAACTTAACACTCAATGACAAAGGATCGCCTGTCCGAAGCCCAGGCTATCCAAACCTGAGATTAGGCGCAGGCTACACGGGACACCCCTTCAACGATGATGAAGACTAACCTCCTGTGAAACGGAACGCACACACGACGGTTACCATGACAAAGGGGAGGGCAGTGACAAGTACCGCCAGTTCTAGTGGAAGAAGAACTGCTCTGCCAAGATGTGCTAACAGTGACGCTGACTTGTCATGCCAGACAACCGTGCCTACATCCTCAGCAGTGGACCTAAAGTACTCGTGAGCTTTGCTCTGCATGAGAATGGTGTTTACCCGTCTTTCAGAGGCGGAGCCCAAATGATCACATTGTGTTGTATGAGCGTATTTCATTGCCACAAACCAATTTCCCATTGGTCACTGTCGTGCTTTGATCATCCCACGAAACCCGCTCGACATACAGTAGGTGGGCCAACTCATGAAATGCCAACTGAAATTCCAAAATGCGTTTTCATTTTAAAAAGATTATTTAAGTAGGGTTGTAAAATTGGTTGGCCTGCAAAATAATTCCATAATATTTCAGTTACCTCAGGATGCCGGCTTTCGAATGAACTTCCTTCCGGCTGCATGCAAAAACTACACTCTGTAAAAAATGACTAATTGCGTAGCATGAAATTTTCTCATTGATTTTCGATGCCCCTAAAAGTCCAGTTATATTCCATGGAAAACATGCATGAAAATATTCATTCTTCTGCTCATTCGGTAGACAGTTACGTGTTCTTCCAATTTTGTACTCGAAGGAAGGGTATAATTCGGTTTGCAAAAACTTTTCCGATCCCCGAATAAATTTGCACCCGCTCTCCCGTTACACTTAGATTCAGGGTTTCCAAACTACAAGCCGCATATTTTCCGCGTACGGAAAATCACACATTCCTCTGCGGTAATGAAGGGGGACCATATAGGGTTCATAAAATTTAGCAGTGGATTCGATCCATATTGTTAACTTTACAAGCCTCATTGGTAAATGCAGAGACATGACGATTTATGCACGGCCATTTCACGGTATTTAAAAGTCCCACAACTGCACCAACTGCATTTCGATGATGGTTGGACGACAGGGAGTTTTGCGCGAAAGGCAACGGTATAGAGAAGGACCCCACTTAACTGCCAGTAGACTGTGGATCGTGTCATATGGGGTTTTATCTTGGCATACATTTGCAGACTGTTGAAGAAATTACACTACCAACAACGACTCACGACCTCACACCTTAACCCAAAGTCCGTTCTTTTGTGAAATTTACCTTTTCTTTACTGTTTACTTACTACTCCCATTTCCATTATCGTACAATATCGTAGGATAATATTTTCGGCATAGATTCAGGCTATTTTTGTGCTTTCTTTCATTTTGTCAGCTTACTGTCTAGCGTGCTGCTCCACCCATAAAACTCCCTTCACCATAAATCACGTATGGCACGATCCACAGTCTGCTGACAGTTAAGTGGAGTCCTCTATACCGTTGCCGCGTGAAATTCCAGGAGAGGTACCTGTTCGCTTTTCCTAACTTTAACTCCAACCCTGACTCTAACACTAACCTCAAACCTAACCCTGGTCCCTCTGGAATTCAGTGCAAGGCCAGCGGTATTAGTAGGAGGGGGGGGGGAGAGTACCCATTCCCCTGCCCTACGGGTACTAGTAATAGTAAAGAAGAATGCGTAACGGGGCATTCTGGCGGACAAAAACTGTCCCACAATTAGGTTCATTTATGCAAACAATCCAAGTCCCCTAAGTAGGTTCGACAAATTAAAAAATTCACGGCTGTAAAAATTATCCATATATTTTTGTCCTGACTGAGGCAGGGCTCTCAGAGAGAGAGAGAGAGAGAGAGGGGGTACATGATGCGCAGTTGCACGGAGACGACTGTCAACTAATAGGACGTAATGGGATGAAGATAAATGAGTGAAGAAATAGCCCTCTTCCTTCAGAGAGTGGGTTTGGCCGGTTTGCGGGAGATGTCGTCGTAACATATAGACCATCGAGACAAGTGAAGGCAGAACGGACATACTGGTTACGCAAACGAAAGCAAAGGAACTCGTTGCGGTCACCAGCTGCTGATCCGGTGACGATCTAATAAGCTCTCCCAGGTAGAGTGGTTTGTAACAACGCGGCATGAAAGTCACCACGAACCAGTAGTTTGTCCACCGTGGACAGAGCCAATAGGAGAGCGCTCAGGTCTTCGTAGAACATGTTTCTTACGGCATCAGAGCTGGCAATTGGGGACGTTGGCGCTGACGGCGACGAATTCGCCGCCCTCTCCCTCAGACTGACAGTCTCATTGTCCGGAGACGATCATTGAAGGGCCGCGGCAAGTAGGACAGCCGTCTCACGACGTCATTTTTAATGGTGAAGGCGACTCCGTCATCTCGCTGCTCTGCCCTCCGGACGTACGTTTCTGGAGATATATCCGGCACCCACCTCCTCCAATTAATCCTTTCGATAAAGGCAGGTCTCACTGATAGTCGTAGTGTCCGCTTTGCAAAGGGACAGTTTGCGGGCGACCAGGGCCGTCTTTCTTCTCGGACGGTCAGCCATTAGACTCTCTTAAAGGAGACGAACATTCTAGGCTTCTAGAGTGAATAGTACCACCCTTGCAGCCTACAGCGACTCTCAGCGATGGGGACAGGAGTTGTTGTTTGCTGTAGTGTTTTGATCGCATTTGTCGCACTCAAAAGCTACGGTCAGCTTTTTATGGCGTGCTTTCCCATCAGTTTTAGGGCACTTTTTCTTGTCTCCTTCTCCGCGAGGATGTGAA